GGCTGGTTCAGCGACAGCCTACTGGAATGATTTCGCTGATCGATTGGCTAAAGAAGCCGCCCTGGGAGACCAGGAACCCACATCCCCTACACCTGATCTCGACAAGGACACCCCCTCCCCTCCAGACCCTGCCCCGAACTTGCCCATCTTTGCTGTGATCACCCGCAGCAAGCGAGCGACGGAAGACACCCGTGCACCCCTCCCTCCTGTCCTAATGGATTTGGGAGCGCTGCAGAAGGATGATTCTGACGTGCTGGACTTGCTCTCTAAGGGCAAGGATTCCACTGGGAAGTTTAAAATCGAGGAACTGGAAGGTGTGGTTTGGGCGATCGACTCCTCACATAACCGCCATTGGGTTGTACCCGTTTCGGTTCGGGGAGACCTGATCCAATATGTCCACGAGCAGGGACACAGAGGGAAAGATCTGACGAACGGGGGAGGAAGCAAGATGGCTAAAATGGGATGCCTCCAAGTCCTGCCACAAGTTCCTTCCATGTCTTTGCTTGTTGGTCTCAAATTTTGAAATCCAGCTTTATTACAGTGGGGTTTTTTGTACATAACATAATCCATCACTGCATTGTTCTCCCATCCTATTTTGTCTGTATCACACTGTGTTCTCGTACATCTCCCTCTAATTTTGTTTGTCGTATGTACAGGTACTGTTCTTACTGGGTTGATGTCAGTTGTCGTCTGCCTGGAGGCTGGGAGAGAAAGGCAGACTGTACAGGACACACACAACTAAATAAATAGTTCACCATGACCACTGTAGGGCAGCTCCACCATGACGGCCATGTGGCACCACCCCATTTACAGCCATATGGTGAATGCTTAGCTGCAATGGAGCAGCATCAGGGGAAGGCTATCACTTTTGTGTCTAGCTTGTGGACTTCCTGGGGTATCGGGTTGGCCACTGCCAGAAACTGGGTGATGACTTTCAGACCATTGGTCTGATCCAACAGGGCTCTTCTTATCATCTCTAGCCTGATGTAATGAGATGTCTGCAGCTATCATGGCACTCCGACCATCCCCCTCTTCCCTTTCATTATGATTAAGAGACACAGATAATATCCCATTTCCCCCGTCCTCTAATACTGAAAATGGATGACATGATTGATGTGAAATCTGGCAGTGTTTCACCAGGTATTCTGTGCTGAAAAAACGAACGCTCACCAGAACTCCGGCCTTTTGCCAGTGTGTGAAATTCTGAGAAGAGTCTGAAGAAAGTCATAACTTTGCATTTAGCAAGAGTGATCACTTGGTGGCAGTAAAGGATAAGAAACAAGAGCCAAATCCTACAGCAGCAACTTGCAGGCGATCAAGGAAATATGCCGAACGCCTTCTCCACCACTACCTAACCTTGTGGGCCTGGCAGTTCATTCATCTTCTTAACGAGGGGATGAATTTCAGTACGGTTGGGATTCAGTCTGGAAGCATGACCGAAGGAGGTGATGAATTGCATTACCATATGACATTGTTTCACAGCAAGCCACAAGGCATAAACTACCCGGGAGTGGGATGCTCTGTATAAGGCACAATATTTATTTTTATTTTATTTGGCAAAATATACACCCCACCTTTCTGCCTTCACAAGGGCCTCTGAGGCAACCAACAAATTATAACATACATAGTAAAATCACATAAATCATAAAATCGCAGGCTTAAACTAGCGGTTCTATTCCTTTGAATGGAAGAAGATTGGGCTGCAGTGAACGTCTAAGAAGATATCAAGAATTTAGAGAGTTTTAGTATAGATATAAAGGTGGAAGGACTTTGCAAATTGCCTTTATGAAGCGAGCTGGAGGAGATGCTCGGGAAACTTTCTCATAACAAGTAACAATCTAACATATAAGCTTAGAAAGACAGGTTCTCACAAAGTATATTGTTTATTAACAGCCTTTTCTTTTACTAACAGTATTTTAACAGGGAATGATCTCCTAACCTTGGGTTTTTAGCTTAGTGTGGGTTATCTTTTCTTTCTCCCTTAATTGTAGTCCCCCCATCCCCAAATTTTTCTTGGTAGTTTATGTAGTATTATAAAAAATAAATAAAAAATCCCCTCCGGGGGCTTAAAAAATAAATAAAATAAAATCGCAATACATTTGGATCCATCAGTATCATTGAAACCCTAAGCGAGCCTACTCAGAATCCTACTGAATTCTACTCGTTGGGGGTCACTCTGAGGAAAGTGTTATTTATTATTTCTATTTGTATCCTGCCCTTCCCAGAAGCATGCTCAGGGTGCCTCACAACAACCAATACGATACAATCTTAACAATATGTCAAGAGTTAATAAGTCACGGTATAAAACAATACAACAAAACAATTAAAAGACATTTAAAGCATTTAAAGTGAGGATTGCACTGTATGTTCTTGTGCAATAGCAAATCTGTGCAACAGGAACAGACATGGCTACTAGTTAGGATTCTACAAACCTGCAAATCTGGGAGGAAACCCCTCCCCAGGTTTTCAGATCAATCTCATTTTAATACCCCTCCAATTCAGGGGTAACCATAGGGTTACCAAGTACTTACCGCAGTTTGGCGGGGGACACATGATCCCCGGCCGGAACATTCCTCCTTGTAGCACACCCATGCTGCACCATGCCATCGCCAGGAAGTGACGCTGGGTGACACTCTGGCAATGGGGCTGGAAACTCGATGGTACCATCGAGTTTCCATCCCCATTGCCAGATTGTCACCCGGCGTCACTTCCTGACGACGGCATGGTGCGGTGCATCTGTTTTCCATGCAGGAATGGTCCTGGGAAGAATTATGTGTCCCCCGCCGAATCACGGTAAGTACTTGGTAAGCCTGGGTAACCACCAGGCTAACAGTTACGTCTGTGCATGTGCTGATACTGCAAAAACCAACCACTCGAGTTTAGGTTGTATTTTCAGTAGTCCAAATTGGTAAGGAGGATTGATGATAAACAGGAAATGGCCAGTGAGGGAGGAGAAGGAGCAGGCAATAGTGACCAGCTCATGAATGAGGCAAAGGCTGGAAACAGAGGAGGGGAACTGAAGGAGAGGGAGGGGGTAAGGCATGGCCGCAGGTGTGAAGGAAGGAAGGAAGGAAGGAAGGAAGGAAGGATTGTATGATTGCCTATATTTTTATATATCAGCCTATATGTTCTATGTGTATTAGACCTCTGAGGATGGCCTGTAAAGGCCGAAATGCGTTAGGTCTACTTCATTAGCCCTTGTATGTTTTTTATATATATATTTGTTTATGAGGTATGAATGGGCCCTTCTTTGTTATTTTAATTTGTGTGTAATAAATACATGTATATTTTTGTATGATTTTTAAAGTTGTCCCTCTTCTATCCTTGACTAACCTTTGTAGGTTCTGAATTCTAAGTTTTAGGTTCAGTTTTTTTTCCCTTTTCCCTTTTTGTCCTTTATAGCATTATACCATGCTGAGTTCCTTCCCAAGGGCCCACCCACAGATTTCTAGGAGTCTCCCAACCCAGAATTAGCAACCCTGCCCCCAACTCTTGGATTTTATTTATTTGAAAAATGTATACCCTACACTGTCAGCAAAGGTTACGAAGGCATTTTTTGATTCTGTATGCTGTCTGATGGGTCTTTGACCGTAATAAACTAATTGATTGATTGGTTACGAAGGCAGCCACCAGTTCTCAATAAAAGCCACAAAACACTATCAATCAGTAGACTGAATTTAAAAATGTATTTATTTATACTGCACCATCAATGCAAATGATGCTGTAAAGCAATGAACAGATCATAAGAAGAATATAAAACAGTGGGGGGAAACAACAGAGGGAGAACTGACCTCAACAGTGTGCACGGGGACATGGATCAGGCTATGCTCTTGGTGTAACAACAGAAGAGCTTTGAGAGTATGAATGTGTTCCTACTTTCATGTGTGAAATGTGGGAAGGCATGAGATGCTACAGCAACCTGGCATGTGCCCCCACATGATATGACTTATGTAGAATCTCCCTCTTTTTTGGCAGAGGCTGGGCTTTTACCTGGTACTATAGTCCAGGTTTGATTCCCCATTCCTCCACATTCAGCTGCTGGTGTGACCTTGGGTCAGTTACAAGTTCTTTCAGAGCTGTTCTCTCACGAGTCGTTCTCAAGAGAGCTCGCTCAGCCCCATCTCCCTCACAAGGTGTCTGTTGTGGGGAGGGGAAGGGGAAGGGAAAGGAGATTGTAAGCCACTCTGAGACTCCTTCAGGTTATAAATCCAATCTCCTACTCCTCCTTCTTCCCAGTTTCACTGTTTCTTGTTTCCTCATCAGGGAACAGGATAATCTGAATATATGAGATCTACACTGCAAATGTAAACCCATTTCAATATGGATCGCTTCCTGCCTGCCAAAAGAATGCTGTGAGTTGTAGTTCTGTGAGAAAACTGATAAATCTAAATTAGAGTGATCAGTCCCCACACGATGCTACAGTTCCTAGGGTCCTTTGTGGGAGGTCTTAGCATTCAGACCCTTGTGGAGGTGCCTTCCTCTCTACCCGGGTGCCAGCTCATTCTGCAATCCTTGGATAACTGTACTGGAATGAGTGATGGAAACTAGTTCCCATTCCATCACTGTGCGGTCACACACAGCTATTAATTAATTAATTACATTTAAATTTAACCTTTCTTCCAAGGAGCTCAGGGAGTGTGGGCATACATAGTTTTACCCACCCCCTTTCGTCTGGTGAGATAGGTTAGACAAGCAAAAGGTGACCGGCCAAAGTTCACTCAGTGGTGTAATGGAGACAGGGTGCAAATGAGGGAACATTTTTGAGGACAGAACCTGGGAAAGGTGTAGTTTGGGGAGGATCTGACATCCCTTCTGGGTGACAGTCTAGGAATTTTCTCTTAAGACCACACAGAAAGAGGGAGATTCCTAGCGTGTCACTAGTTTCTGGCCATTTTTTCCTCCTCTTCCAATTTCTGAAGGGTGGGGCATTGTGGGCAGCCCCAGTCTAAACACAACTTTCTAAAGGGATTGCCCAAAGTAAACCCAACATTCTATAGCCATTACGGTAATGTGGGCCTCAACAGGAACCCATCTGTGACCTTTCTGAGACCCTGTTTAACATCTTTGTTTCTTAGGGAATATATAAGAGGGTTGAGCACAGGCGTTACCACCGAATAAAGGATCGCTACCAACTTGTCGTCTTCTAATGTATAGGATGAGGCAGGCCTGATGTACGTGTAGATGATGGTGGAGAAGTAAAAGCTGACCACCAGAAGGTGGGAAGAACAAGTGGAGAAGGCCTTTTTCTTTCCCTCGGTGGATCGGATTCTAAAGATGGCTGCCAGAATGAACATGTAGGATATCAGCGTCAGCACACAGCTGCCCATGGTTAAAACCACAGCAGCAGCGTAAGCCATGGTTTCATTGATACTGATGTCCGAACACGACAGTGCCAACAATGGAGGCAGATTACAAAAGAAGTGGTTGATTATATTGGAGTCACAGAAGGAAAGCCGGAGCACCAGGCCCACGTGAACTGCAGAATCAACCATCCCGGTCACCCACACTCCAGTCACTACCACAAGGCAAAGTTCTTTCCTCATGATGACCGGATATTGTAAAGGGTGGCAGATGGCCGAGTAGCGATCGAAGGCCATAAAGGAGAGGAGCATGTTCTCTGTGCCCAAAGCCCACAAGAAAAGGTAGACTTGTGCGATGCAGCCAGAAAAGGAAATGGTCTTCCTGTGGGCCAGAGTGATCTGGAGCGTCTTAGGAATTGTAACCGAGATGCACAACACGTTTGCTACAGACAAATTGATGAGCAGGAAATACATTGGGGTGTGGAGCTTGCTGCAAGTGCATATGGTGAGGATGAAGAGGAAGTTGCCCGCTAAAGCTGCTGTATAGAGGAAGGAGAATACCCAAAAGATGGTCATCTGATGTTCAGGGGAACTGGATAAGCCCACTAGGATGAAGTCTTGAATGGCTGACCGGTTCTTCATTTCCATGTGTCGGACAGCACTGATCTACCTAGACAAATTAAACATATCATCTACATATATTTTGGGGGGCAGATCTCCACATCAAATGCATGGAGATGATTTCGTAGAGGAGAATTCACTCATTGGCTATTAACCATGATATGAATTCCCTATTTTCAAAGACAATATCTCTGAGTACCAAATGCTATTGTCAGTTGACTGTGGAGGACTCCCCCCCCCCTTTCATGCCCTCCTCAGAAGCTTTCTAGTGGCAAAGGCTGGCTGCTCTTGGAAACTGGATACTACGTACCAGGCAGAACTTTGAACCGATCCAGCAGTTGTATTCTGAAGTATGCTGGAATCAGCAGTAGAATCCAGTCACAGATAAGTACAGGGCTAGCAGCTATCAGAAGGAAAGGAAAAGGTGTTGACAAAGACAAAAATGATGCAATCTCATAATGGTATGTGTCTCATACAAGATCTCGGTGGCCCAGGCTAACCCCGTCTCATCAGATCTCAGAAACTAAGCAGGATTGGTCCTAGTTAGTACTTGGATGGGAGACCACCAAGGAAGGTCAGGGTTGTTACACAGAGGCAGACTATGACAAACCAGCCCTGTTCATTTCTGCCTTGGAAACCCTACAGGGTCACCATAAGTTGGCCGTGACTTGATTACACTTTTCACCACCTATTACACAAGACTATAAACTATATATTACACAAGACTAGAGACTCTCGTCTCTAGTTCCAGCTCCTGCCCACCTAGCAGTTCAAAAGCAAGAAATTGCAAGTAGATAAATAGGTACCACTTCGGTGGGAAAGTAACAGCGTTCCGTGCGCCTTGGTGTTTAGTCATGCCGGCCACATGACCACGGAAACGTCTTCGGACAGTGCTGGTTCTTCGGCTCGGAAACGGAGATGAGCACCGCAACCCTAGAGTCAGATTCGACTGGCTTTCGAGCAAGAGAACCTTTACCTTTACCATATAAATTCTAAGGGCTTGAGCATTCCAAGCATATCTTGGGCTGCAATCACACACACTAAATAATCCACTTTCAATGCACTTTCCAACTGGATTTTGCCAGTTCACACAGGAAAATCCAGTTGGGGAGTGTATTGAAAGTGGTTTGAAAGGGATTTATTTAGTGTGTGTGATCACAGCCTTAAATTAAGAGGGGATATGAAGGGTTCCTGTATTGCAGCAAAGAAAGAGCTAGCTGTTCCCCACTGGCCAGAAACAGAATTGGGCTTCAGCATCTGTGCTCTCTAACAGATTTAGTAACACCGCTGTGACTGCTGAAATGTAAGGTGCAGTACCAGAGTGGTAATTCACAGGGCCCCGAGTGCAGTCTCTGATACCTCCAGTTAAAGTAGCTAAACAGGAAAGTCCCCAGTTTGAAAACCTTGCTGTTTGTCATGATAGACATTGTTGAAATGGATGAACCATTAGTCTGACTCCGTATACCTTTACAATAGCTTCTTACAGATTTATAGGCTAGCAATGAAACACAACAGATTTTCTAAGAAGATCAATGGCTGTTCTATGTCCATTCCCTCTTCTTTAGTGCTGAAAATACATATTGATCCAGCTTTTAAATGCTATACAAACTGAACTTCCCCTTATATTGAAGAAAAAAAGAACCCAGTACACCTGGCTTACGTTAAAAACAGCTCATTCAGATGACTTCAGGATCCAGATGTTCCATATGTCTGCAGGCACAAGGCAAAACAAAGCTGGTTGTACTGATGAGACACCGCTCCTCCACACCACATCAGGAAAGGATCATCTGTTCTGGAGGAGATCTTCAGCACCCAGAAATGGCAGACAGCTGGCCCAGATGGCCATCTTAAGTACAACATTAGGGCTGCAGGGAGAAAGGCCATGGAGGTTTGAAAAACGGGAAGTCGACTAGAGACATAAGGCTGGCAGAGTGAGAAGTAAGGATCATCCCTGAAGACTTCCTGGGAGACTTTGGGCCCAGAGGAGGTAGTGTGGACCCATGTGCCATTAAATATGTATTGCTATTTCTTTTCCGATGACTGTTCTTTGGGCTGAACGAGGATATCTGTCTATATAGCCATCTTACATCTGTTCCCCCTCCAAAAAAGAATCCTTATTACATTGATAAGAATATACACGCTACTTTGTTTTTCATATTAAGGACCTGTTTTGTTTCACTTCGTGTTTTGATCCAGATGCTTCTGGTAAGCCCATTGTAGGCAAGGAAGGCACCAACTGGGCCTTCTTCTCTCAGTGTTTGACCCCACCATCTGACATTCAGCAGAAGACTGATTGGATGTGGAGGTGCCATTTAGATACCATGGCTGATAGCTATAGATAGGTCTGCCCTCCATCAATTTCTCTAACGCTCTGAAAAAGCCATCCTAGCTAGTCATTTTTTGTTGTTGTTGTTCAGTCGCACAGTCGAGTCCGACTCTTCGCGACCCCATGGACCAGATCCCGCCAGGCCCTCCTGTCTTCCGCCGTCCTCTGAAGTTTGCTCAATTTCATGTTTGTTGCATCTATGACCCTGTCCAACCATCTCATCCTTTGCCGTCCCCGTCTTCTTTGACCTTCAATCTTTCCCAGCATCAGGGTCTTCTCCAGTGAGGGCTCCCTTCTCATTTGGTGGCCAAAGTATTTGAGCTTCAGTTTCATTATCTGGCCTTCCAGGGAACAGTCAGGGTTGATTTCTTTTAGGATTGACTGATTTGATCTTCTTGCAGTCCAAGGGACTCTCAAGAGTCTTCTCCAGCACCATAGTTCAAAAGAATCTATTCTTCGGCGCTCGGCCTTCTTTATAGTCCAACTCTCGCAGCCATACATGACTACTGGGAATTCCCAGCTAGTCATTACCCCTATCCTATAGGAGAGAAATTGGTAAGTTATCTGTGGTCTTGGGCTTTGGGCCACTCACAACGGGGCTGCTCTTATTTCTTCATCAACATGGCTTGTGGCATTAGATGAGTCCTGAATGATTGTATTTTGAGAGAGAGAGGGAAATTCTCTCTGTAGCTACTTTCTACGTGCCATATTTTTATTCACATTTGTCATCTTCCCGTCAGCCAAGTTAAGCACACTTACAGGTAGGGTTACCATCCTGCAACCCCCCGGGAGCATTTAGGGGGCAGACACACGTGTGCCAGCATCATGCCAGTGCACTGAGGTCACTTCTGTCAAAACCTGGATGTGACATCGTGACATCAGGGGGATGCTCTAGGACTTGCAGAAACTCTATGGTTAAATTCTAGAGATTCTGGCAAATCCCAGAGCATCTCCCCGATGTCATGACTTCAGTGTGCTGGCACAGGGGTGCTGAGGGCCCCTATTTACCCCTCACTTTCCTCCCGCCAGCGTTTCAGGCACCAGTGGGCAATGGCCAGATTTGCTGGGAGGTCTCCCATCATAGCCATCTGCTATTGTTTCTCCATATATAATTTCATATTGTTGCACAGTATCCTTAAAAAATGAGCATGGATTTTGCTCTGTTTTGTTGTTGTTGCTTAAAGCCTTGTAAATCCCTGCCAGAAGAAACAGTCATGGAGAAAATGTTATAATCTTCTACTTGTAGAACAGAGTTCGAGTCCAGTGGCAACTTTCAGACCAGCAAAGTTTTATTCAAGGTGTGAACTTTCACATGCCTGCACACTTCCTCAGACACACTGAAATGGAAGGTGACAGTCCATACATCTAAGGAGAGGGTGAACAGCAATATAGCATACCACATAATGAAGATGTTTTAACAGATGTGAGAACCAAGCAGGAATAACAAGCTAAGTTTATGTGGTCACCATTTGTTTGGATTCAATTGTGTGTGTGTGGGGGAGGGGAACACAGCGAGGCAAATAAATTTGTCAAAATTGGAGACTGATGTGTAATTGTATCCTTCTTAATTGTGGGATGCTAGGAGTAATGGAGCTGCGGTGGCTCAAGTGGCTAAGACGCTGAACTGCAGGCTGTGGAAGGTCAGTAGTTCAGCAGTTCGAGACCCGAGTGTGCCGCATGATGGAGTGAGCTCCCATCTCTAGTTCCAGCTCCTGCCAACCTAGCAGTTCGAAAGCAAGAAACTGCAAGTAGATAAATAGGGACCACTTCGGTGGGAAGGTAACAGCGTTCCATGCGCCTTGGTGTTTAGTCATGCCGGCCACATGACCACGGAAACGTCTTCAGACAGCGCTGGCTCTTCGGCTTTGAAATGGAGATGAGCACCGAAACCCTAGAGTCGGACTCGACTGGCTTTCGAGCAAGGGAACCTTTACCTTTACCTGGGAGTAATGAACTGAGACCCTGCCTGAGGGGTGACATGATTGAGGTTTATAAGATTATGCATGGGAAAGAGCAGGTAGAGAAAGAGGTACTTTTCTCCCTTTCTCACAATACAAGAACTTGTGGGCACTCCATGGAATTGCTGAGCGGTCGGGTTAGAACGGATAAAAGGAAGTACTTCTTCACCCAAAGAGTGATTAACACATGGAATTCACTGCCACAGGAAGTGGTGGCGGCTACAAGCATGGACGGCTTCAAAAGGGAATTAGATAAGCACAAGTGGGGGACCCGCGATACTCGCGGGAGAGGGGGAGCTCCACACCTATGAGGAAGAGGAGGAAGCAGCAGGAGGAGGTAAGTTCCCACCCATCCTGCCGGTTCCCCCGTCTCCTCCACCCCGAGTCTGGAAACAAATAAAGTGAAATCTTTAAAATGTATATTGGAAGGGTGGATTGGGTGCTAGAATAACTGGTTTGAAATCTGCCAATATTTTTATGGTTGCCTAGCAACCACCACAATGGCCACTGAGATCTCAGAGAGCATCCATTTCTTTAAGGTACAGGCACCACTTCTTGTATTTGGGGACAGATCATCCCCCCAATATATATATGTGTGTTTGTGTGTGCGTGCGCGCGCATGAGGATGTGCATGTGTTTTATTTTTCTGCAAACCTGGGACTTTTCTTAGGTTTGCAGGAAAATCTGTCTTCTTTGTCCATGGCTTCAGTCTCTGGATATAAGTATCTGCAGACGGGGCCATGTTGAGGATTAGAAATACTGATAAGTGCTACTCATTTTGATTCATTTGAATGATTCATAAGTCAATAAATAGTGAATAACAAAATACATTCTTAGGTCCATGATTTGTTAATATATGACTAACTTTAGGAAAAAACAGTTTTAGTTTTAAATCATTAAAATGGACTAGAGTGGAAAAGGGACACCTTTTTACTAATGAGATTTGTAGCCTTTTAAGGAGAAAGCTTAAACTGCTATTTCAGATCAATATTGATCAAAATGTCCATTTTCTAAACAAATGCAAAAATGTATGAGAATGGTTTTTAATTTGCAGGGAAAATAGGACTGTTCCCTTTTAAAGGGGGCGTGTTTGTCTTGGTTATCCTTCCAATAATCCCAGAACTGTTTCCTAACAGCAATTGTTGCCCTGCATTGGTATAACATCACCATAGTAAAGGTCTAAAATTTGGCACTTACACAGCAGCAAAATTAGAATTAAAAGTACGTTTTACATTCCAGGATAGACCTGAGTGATGTAAATGCCTTCTTCACATTTTACCTAAATTCTGCAAGAGGTTGTGGTAAGAATTTTCAGAAATATGGAAGGGTTTGGGTTTAAAATTGAACCAAACAGTTTATGAAATCCACATATGTATATCTGGCTCTGTTTTTGCTAACAGTCACAGCCTGGCTCACTATGATTCTTGCCAAAACCCTGTTGCTCTCAGTATAATCAACATTCCATTCCCCAGCCCCCAAGGTGTGAGCGACTTACATTAAACAACTTGTCAGGAAGGCCAGCATGAGAAGTGACAAACCCAAAATTGCCCAGGCCATAAAATGCATAACCATTTGTGCAGCTGGGCCTTCAAATCCACAATGCAAATTCATGGGAAACAGAAGTTCAAACAAACCCTGATTTTATCTCAGCGATAACACCCAAAAGGACAATCTGTTTGAATCAATGGATGTGTGAGACTCACAATTTAAGGACAATAAGCAATTGCAGCTGGACCCTAATTCAATATGCTATCTCAAGACAACAGGATTTCTCATGCCGTAGAAGATAGCTTTGAAGTAGCTATTTGTCAGCTTCAAAGAACCTGTAGCCCCAAATGATGAGAACCACAGAGAAACAAGTGTTTCCTTAAATAGAGGCCTCCCCCAGCAGAGGTCAGGCAGCAGCTATTCAAATTCAAATTCACCCAGGCACTCAATCACAGGCAAAACAATGCCCCTTCCACTTCCTCTCAATTACAGGCAATCCCAGTCAAACAGTGCCCGTTCCTCTCCCACACTCAATCAGCCAGGACTCTGCAAGAACTCTAAGTGCTTCCACACACTGCTAAACACAGTTTTCCCACAAAATATCCTTAGCTGAATTCTCTCAGCTGAAAGCAAGTAAAAGAAACCCACTCACCTCTCTCACAGCTCTCTCTCCTGCTCCTGCTCAGAGCTCAGCTGGTAGAGAAAGATGTACTTATGTTCTTATGTTCTTATGCCTCTCAAGCATGGAGGTAACTAAACACGGCTACCCACCTGAACCAGTTTTCTACGTGGTGATTGAGAAGGATGTAGCAGAGTGGTGTAGTGGACAGAGTGCCAGAGTCGGATTAGGGAGACCCAAGTTCAAACTCTTGATATGCCATGAAGCTCAGTGTTTCACCTCGGGCCAGTCACTCTCTCTTTGCCCAGCCTACCTCATAGTCATGGGAAGAGATGATCAGAGACCCAGAGCACACAGGGAGGAGGTGGAGAGGGAGGGTTATGTTTCTGCAGTGTCGTCAAGGCAGGGATGAGTCAAAGAAAGCCGAGGGTTCATGCCTGGTCAACAGGGTGGATGGTGTCGTGGTCAAGGGCTGTGGGAATGGGAAGACCAAGCATTCTGTCTTTGCTATATAGAATTTGAGGTAGTGAGATGAGACCCAAGGAGAACCATTGTGCAGGTAAGAGGCAGTGTGGTTAGGGTGTGGCTAGAGTGTCCGACTAGGCTCCAGGAGACCCAGGTTCAAATCCCCACTCTGCCAAGGAAAGGAAGCTTGCCGGGTGACCTTGGGCCACTCACACACTCTCAGCCTAACCTACCTCACAGGCTTGTTGTGAGGATCAGATGGAGGAGAGGAGACTGCTGCAATCCACTTGGGGTCTACATTTGGAGAGAAAGGCAGGCTACAGGCACAGTCAGAAGCTTAGCACCATCTACCTAGGTCAACTGCTGTATTTTATTGTACTTGAATTGTGATCCCCCCCCCCATGAATGTTTTCGTCACTGTACACTGCCCTGAGCCCTGTCTTTACAGGGGAGGGCGGTCTAGAAATTTAATTTAATAAATAGATAAAGTAAATGAAAATAAATAATCTGAACAGTGGGATGGAATGAAGGGAGACAAATTTCAAGGAAAAGAACAAGAGGTGGATGTCATCAGCTGCCAATGTTCCCTCTAAGCTGAGTTAGTGCGAGCTAGCTCACAGTTTTTTAGCCTCCGGCTCACACATTTTTGTCTTAGCTCGGGAAGGAGGGCTCCAGAGCAAGCTAATTTATGCAGCAGGCAAATTGCTTGCTCACAGCTTTAATGCCAGTAGCTCACAAAGTAGAAATTTTGCTCACAAGACTCCACAGCTTAGAGGGAACATTGATCAGCTCCCAAGAGAGTTAATGGAACCCCATTGCTGTGACGGAGGGCAGACACTGGACATGTTGGGAGCACATAAACAGATTTTGTCTGGTTGTGTGGGAACATTACAAATTGCTGTATAATTATCACAATCACTATGATTAAACTCTGTTTCTCAGGGAAGTCATGCCGGTAGCTCGCGGCCCCAAACAAAGTCACAGTCAGCTCAACAGCTGTGCTATGCTACCCACAGTCTGTACCAACATGTGTCCCTGAGACATGGGAGGTTCGCAGAAGGGAGGAAGAGCTCTGTCTAATACACCTTTGATTCTACAACTCTTAGTGAAAAAGCACCGGGCAGAGTCTTGGTGTCAAGAAAATCTGAACAGTCCCCTGATGGCTCGTTGAGACAGACAGATGCTGTGCGTAGCCACGCTGTCAAGTGTATACAGGGCGATGCAAGTGTTCAGCAAGGACTGGGGCCCAAAACTGCAACCATTCAAACTGATATTTCTCCTCCTCCTCCTCCTGCTGCTGCTCCATCCAACTTGCAGCAAGAGTTCAAGCTCCGTGGGCAAGGAAGTTCAATATCCCATCAACACCCACAAAGAGGAGATCATCATTGGGGGTTTAGTATCCACTTTAATGGGCAACATATCTTTGCTCCAGTTTTCATACCCCCCTCAGTTGATGACAGAAATATGGTAAGTTGCTCCTTGCTGTGGTCTCCCTTTTCTCTCTCCCCACTTTTTGCCTCTTCATTTTGCAGGAAATACATTGTAGGTGTTATTTTGCCGTCAGCAACCCGCTCTGCTCCGCTGCAGGAGCGGAGTTAAAAGCCACCGGGGAAAATCTGGTAGGAAACGGGCTGCGACAGGCCACAGATGGACTTTCCCATGTCTGATAGCTCCAGCACACTCTCATGGCATCGGGATGGTCTGATCCGTGCCGTTGTTTCTTCCTTCCTTTGCGCATCTGCGCAAATGCCATAGGAAGCCCTCAGTGTGGAGGTGTGATTCATCGATCCCTCGTTTAAGTGCATGGGGAAAACACGGCACAAAAAAACCCCGACTCACCTGCAGTTGTGTCTGATCATGCACTGACGGATTGCGCCCGCAGCTTCCAAGAGAGGTGTGATCGTGAAACTGTGGGTCAAATTCCTCCAGAGGAAATAGCCTCACTCCCCCCCCCATTTTTTTTCTGACCATGACCATACATGCGTTTACATTTAAGGTGACATGCAAAATCTTGTTGCAGGCTACTCCCTAAAAATTACCAGCATGTCTTTGCCTTCGATTTTGCCATCGGTGAGATCAACAAGAACATCAAGTTGTTACCCAACATCACGCTGCGACCAAAGATTGAGGACAATGCTTTTAGTTCCATCTGGACCTACATGTCTACTCTTAATCTGCTCTTTGAATGGGAAGGAAACCTTCCCAATTACTCCTGCGGCAGGGGAAAGACGCTAATGGCCATCATTGGGGGGCTCATGTCCCAAAGCTCCATCCAGATGGCTCACATCTTAACTCTCTACCACATTCCTCAGGTATATGTCTTCAAATATATGTTTAACTCTAGCACTAGGAAACCGAGAAAGGAAGCTCCCCATCTGGGACTATACCTGTATCCTCACCAACATTTGTAAACGGCTCCACTCAGTTGGCGACCAAGAAAGGAGGAGCAGTTCTCCAATACAGACAGTACAAAAAAGATGAAAAGTGGGGCCAAAGGAATGACATAAGCATGTACTGCCGGTGACTAACAATAAAAAAAATAACAAATTGACCTAGGTGAATGGTACAACTGACAAAAATCATTAAAATGTGAACATGACAAGAGTCCAGATTTTGTGTTTCTGATTATGAATTTCTTTCAGTCCCTGACCGATCTAGCCCGATCTCATCAGATCTCAGAAGCTAAGCAGGGTCAGCCCTAGCTAGTATTTGGATGGGACCCAGGAATACCAGGGTCATGATGCAGTGACAGGCAGTGGCAGGCAGTGGCAAGCCACCTCTGAATGTTTCTTGCTGTGAAAACCCTATGGGGTTGCCATAAGTCAGCTGTGACTAGATGGTGAAGCACAAAATTTCTTTCAGACTCTGCTCCGAGTGGCTTCCCAATATGGTGTCACTCTTTGCTGAAAATGAATAACCTGGGAGGCAGCTGAATCCTAATTCAAGTGCAAGATCTTAATTAGATCTATAGTTGTGGCAAACATGAATCCAGTGAAAGCAGCATGCAGTCTGGACGCTGCCATAAAATCCGACCATCAATCAAAGTGAAAGTGGCATGCAACGCAGAGGGGAATTTCTTTTCCAGTGTGGGTTTGGGAAAACAGCAGCACAAATGCTAGATGCAGATTGGGCCTCTGTTCAAAAGTGAGGGCATATCTTTTATAATCTTAATTGTTGTTTTTTTAATTAGCTCAGTTATGGCAGCTCAGAATTAGCACTGAGCGATAAAGCACGGTTCCCTTCTTTCTATCGGATGGTTCCAAACGAAACTCCGCAGTATGTCGGGATCGTTGAGCTGCTGAAGTATTTTGGATGGACGTGGATAGGGATTTTCATTTCATGTGACGATAGCGGTGAAACCTTTCTGCAGACCCTGAAGCCAAGGCTCCTCGAGAGCAATATCTGCATTGCTTTTGCACATGCAGTTCCATACATGACACGTGGTGTGGACGAGACAGCTGTTGTAAAGCTGGCTTCTCACATCCAATCAAGCAGAATCAATGTCATCGTTGTCAATGGAGATATTATATCTCTGGCTGTTTTAAAAATGTATCTACAAAGTTTTGAATTTTTGGGTGTGCGTCCGATAGAAAGGCTTTGGATCGTAACTGCTCAGTGGGATTTCATGAATAAATTAGGTTTCAAAAAGCCCGAAGTAAAAACCTTTAATGGCACCTTGTCTTTTGCACTCCACACAAATCTGGTGCCCGGGTTTGAGGAATATCTTGAGGGCATAAATCCCTTCCAGTCCAAACTTCCTTATATCCAGGAGTTCTGGACCTGCACATTTCTGTGTTCGCTCCCAGCCTATGATCAGTATCTGCCAATGAAAAATAACTGCACAACAGAGGAGAAGCTGAGGGGCCTCCCTCAAACTATGTTTGAAATGAGAATGTCGGGGGAGAGCTACGGCATCTACAATGCAGTCTTTGCTGTAGCCCACGCTCTCCATGCCCTGTATTCATCAAGAGCCAAGTGGAAAGTAATGGGTGATGGAGACAGGTGGGATCTTCTGCAAGTTGAGCCAGGGCAGGTAAGTCTCTGCTGTCATGAACATCTTAGGGTGTTTGCTCTGAGCTATAGGCTGCATTCAGGAACATAAGAATATCATAAAGCCCCTTTTCAGCATCTTGTTTTGTGCTGTGGCTATCGAATGACTGTGAGAAGCCCATGTGCAGGTAGGGAGGCAGAAGCCTTCCCTACTCCTGCCTGACTAGCAGCAACTGGTTTTCCATGGCAGAGTGCCTCTTTACCTGGAGGTTCCATTCATCAACATCAGTAATAGCCATTAATACGTCCTTTCTACATGCAATTGTCTGGTCCTTTTCAGAGGCAGTGGCCAGGACTTTCTCTTCTATAAATTAATCACACAGGATGCAAAGAAGGACTGAGAGAGCTCTTTCGAGGACTGTTCCTGAGAGAACAGCTCTGAGAGAACTGTGACTGATCCAAGGTCACCCAGCTGGCTGCATGTGGAGGAGTAGGGAATCAACCCTGGTTCTCCAGACCCCTCTGAGACTCCTTTGGGTAGTGAACGGTGGGGTATAAACCCAATCTCCTCCTCCTCCTACTTCTTCTTCCAGTCCAACACTCTGTGTCACAGAGTGGCCAAAACCCAGGTGCCATCAGGCGGTCCTCTAGCAGGGCCAGAACTCCAGAAGCCCTCCTACTGTTGCCTCCCAAGCACCATTCAGAGGTGGTTTGCTATTGCCTGCCTCTGTGTAGTGACCCTGGTATTCCTTCTTGGTCTCCCATCCAAACACTGACCAGGGCTGACCCTGCTTAGCTTCTGAGATCTGGCAAGACTAGGCTAGCCTGGGCCAGCCAGGCCAGGTCATAACTGTGTTTATGTTCACACTATTAAGATTCAAAAGAGGCAGGACTCCTGAGCTGCTACCCCAAGGCTTTGGATTCAAGTCCTGAGCAGGGAATTTTCATGGAAACATCTAGACAGGGGTCATTTCATAGGAAAAGAGGTTCAGGAGCTCATTAGCATAACTCTTTGGCATAACTTATTTGCATATGCCACACCCCCTGACATCACCGGAAGTGTGTCAGAAGGCAACACCCACCGCTCAGGCTCCACTGGACTGTTTTGGATTG